GTGGGTGTCGGTGATGAGAGAGTAGCTCGTGCTGAAGGTATTAAAAAGGCTAAGTCGAGGTTGAAGGGTAAAGCTCCATCAAGTCAAGCATTTAAGGAATTAGAAACATTCAACACTCGATTGCAGCTTTTTGGGGAGTCGATGAATGTGTCAAACGAAGCAGAAATGAAGAGACTTGAAATACAAGAGCGCAAGGAGGCAAGGAAACAACGGAAAATTGAGCTAGAGCAATATAGGATCAACTGGGAGCAACTATCTCGTCTAGAACAGAAAGTAAACCGAGAGCAATGGGAAGACGAAATGATAGTAATACTTCGGAACAATATTCAACGTTTCAATAATGATGCTTAGTGTCCTTTATTTTTATTGTAGTTAAGTGTGTTCAATTCCTTTGTTGTTCTTCATTTTCAGTAGTGATAAGTTTTCAGTACCAGTTCAACCTCTTGTACTCATTTCCTTATGTTTGTACTTTATCAATTAATCAATAAAATGTATCTTTTCCACTTTCCCATTTTCATAGCCCATGTGATCTTATTCTGTTTATTCAATTATATCAATTTGTCTCTTTATATATAATTGTGTCAGTATCTTAATTTCCCCTTTGTTAGCCCATGTGAAACCCTTCTTCTCCATTCAATTTCTGTGTGGTTCTAATCCAGTGTTTGTCATAGCCCATGTGAAACCCTTCTTCTCCATTCAATTTCTGTGTGGTTGTAATTCATTGTTTGTCATAGCCCATGTGATCTTTGTCTCTTTATATTCAGCTATTTCTGAAGAAGAATTACAAATTAGTTCACTATAAATAAACACCATTCTTTCATTTTGTATACACACAAACACATAAATCGTTTGCAGTTACTATTAGCAAACCTCACTCTATCTTACATTTCTTACGTACAAAATGAATTCAAATAGTTTAAACGAAAGCTCAACCGATTCCCCTTCATCTTCATCTAACTCGGATGATGAGGGAAGGGAGCTTAGAGTTCAACAACGTAATGAAGTGTGTCTTATGATACAACACGTAATACATGAGTACATTCCACCAATTATTCAGGCTGCCACTCAGCAACGCCGACGAAAATCTATTGAGCCCCGAAAGGATAGGGGACGCGAAGAAGGTCATGCACGGTTATACAATGACTATTTCGCGGAAGTCCCAGTTTATCCAAGTTCCTTGTTCCGGCGCCGGTTTCAAATGCGTAAACATGTGTTTGAGCGTCTTCTTAACGCAGTGACCCAACATGACCCTTGGTTTCAACAAAGGCGAGATGCGGTAGGTCGTCTTGGTTTGTCTCCACTTCAAAAGTGCACTGCGGCCGTTAGACAACTAGCTTACGGGTGTGCTTCAGACGCTTGTGATGAGTATGTCCGTATAAGTGAGGCTACTTCACGATTGGCACTCCAAAAGTTTACAGAAGGTGTCATCAACCTGTTCGGTGATCAGTACCTACGCCGTCCAAACATCGCAGATATGGAAAGATTGCTACGTATTGGGGAAGAACGTGGATTTCCTGGCATGATAGGTAGCATTGATTGTATGCACTGGGAGTGGAAGAACTGTCCACACGCATGGAAGGGGCAATATCAAGGAAGAGAAGGAGTTGCAACTCTCATACTGGAGGCAGTTGCGGACAGAGATCTATGGATATGGCATTCGTTTTTTGGGATGCCAGGTAGCTGCAACGATATTAATGTGCTTCATCGATCCCCTGTGTTCGAAGACGTCTTAGAGGGTCGGACACCTCCTATCAACTTCGTAGTCAATGGTCATCATTATACGAATGGGTATTATCTTACTGATGGAATCTACCCTAGATGGGCTTCTTTTGTGAAATCCATTACGAGTCCACAAACTCATAAGGATCGTTTATTCGCAAAACACCAGGAAGCTGCAAGAAAAGACGTTGAACGTGCATTTGGGGTCCTTCAAGCTCGTTTTGCCATTGTTAAAAAGCCGTCTTTGGCGTGGGATACCGACATACTCCACAATATCATGCTCGCCTGCATCATAATACATAATATGATCGTTGAAGATGAACGAGAGACGTATCAAAATAACGTTAATACCAATGAGTTTATGAATGCTGGAGGGAATGCTAATGAGGACACTACCGAGTACCGTACTGATCGTATTGTGGATATCGGCTTATACTTGTCTCGTAGAACAGAGATTGAGGATCAACAGACTCATTTGCAGCTAAAAACGACTTGGTCGAACATATATGGAATAAATTTGGTAATAACGAAAACTTAGGCAACTAGGTTTACAACAAATGGTTATCCCTAAGGACATCTTACAAAACGATGTGTAGTTGTGATTTTTTTTTTAAATAAAATGTACTAGATTATAGTTGTAGAACTGTAATCACGATTTGTACCTCCTTTTTTTATGTTAATTAAAATTAGCTGCGTTGTTGTTTAAAAAATATTAATCACAAGAATTAATTTTTTAAAAAGCTGATAAAAAAACGCGATAATTTCTTAATTAGTAATCACGATTAAAATATTAAATACGTCAATTAACTACATTGACATCGGTTAATAAATTATAATTATGAAACAAAAAGATTATATTTACAAAAATAAAATAAGGTGGGGTAGGGAGTATTGATGATGAACCATTGTTTAGTGTTTATTGTTAAGAGTGAATATTGTAAATGGTTTGTTGGGTTGATGTGGATGAGAGAGAAATGGTGATAGTGACCCATGAACCATTTTTTTTTGTTCACCAATAATGGTGCTCTAATAGTTTGGAAAAATGTTAACGAGTGCCTCGGGCCGATTGCCACTTGGACGAGAATTCAAAAAACATTTTTTTTTCACATATTAGATTTTTTAAAAGTAATTTTGTCTCTTATACGTATTTCATTTTCCTTCGTTATGTACAACCTAATACTTGAGACTCCTCCAGTCTTGTATATAATAAAAATATAAAAAAAAAATTATATTTTGAAGATTCAAAATATTATTTTTGTTTTTATTTTTATTTTTGAATGATGTGTAAAGGCTATTATATCCTCACTTATTTAACTTTATTCATTATATTTCCTAAATTACTCTTAAATTTTGCACATATCATGTATTTTTTTTCCACTTAGGGCCTATTCTCTTCAATTCAGTTCAGTTCAGTTCAGCTCTTAATTTACGTCTAATGATATTGCTAATGATATAAAGCCAAATTTCATTCTTTTAAGCTCTTATTACAACGACGACGACAACAACAACAACAACAACAACAACAACAATAATAATAATAATAATAACAATAATAATAATAATAATAAATAAGTAATAAATAATAATAATAATAATAATAATAATCATCAATAAATAATAATAATAATAATAACAATAATAATAATTGAAATAATAATACTAATAATAATAATCAATAAAAAAATAATTATAATCATCAATAAATAATAACAATAATAATAATAATACTAATAATAATAATAATAATAATCAATAATTAATAATAATAACAATAATAATAATAATAATAATAATATGTACATTTGTATATACACATGTGTATAGTAATAAATAATCAAAGATCACTAACCCGTAGTTAAAAATCACTAATTAATAAGTTCAATTCAGTTCAGTTCAGTTCAGCTCAGTTCAGTTCAGTTCAGCTGGGTTCAGTCAATCGGAACAGGCCCTTACTCTCTAATTTTTATCTATAATTATACTTTTCACTTTTATTAATGTACTCCGTACTTCATTCTACTTTTGCCACTTATTTTTAAATACCGTAAAAAAACACAAACAACAATTATATGGGACGGAGAAAGTACTATTTATTTTTTACGGAACTACCACCTAATATTAAAAGTACACGTACATACCCATATTCTAAGTTGATACTTGATAGTTAGAGTCTCTTTTTATACTCTATTTACTAGGCTCTTACATAACCATTAAGTGATTAATAGTGTGATAAACAATGCAACAATATACACTTACATCCCATCTATCTGGATTAAAGGACATAGGAATGATAGGATCTTCAAAATATTCAGATCAGATAAGATAAGATCTTTTGAGTATCATTTACTTATTATTAAATATCGTTAATTGTGTATGAAAAAAATTTATAAAAATTGCATATTTAAAAAGTTCATGATGAGACGGATCTAACAAGATCCATTTTGATAATGTTTTTCTTTATAAATTAATTAGTCAAATTGTTAAATCAGATCAAACCAGACTAGATCAGAAAAATTCAGATCAGATCTAAAAAAAATGAACCAGATCTACTTGTTTCAGGTGAAGAGAACAAGTCATAAGTTGTTGTAGAACCAGCAACCATAGGTCTAGCACTCTAGCCAGCTTCGAGGGAGCACAACAAGAAAATGGCCTGTTTCCGACCGAAATTTTCCCTCGCTGAAGGCTCTAAATCCGTCGCAAACATGATTTGCTACGGAATTCTGTCGTTGGTTTCCGTCGTAAAACCTTTGGTAGGAAATTCTTGAATTTTCGAGGAATATTCCGTCGGAAAGGTGTTTTCCGACGGATTTTACGACCGATTTTAATCCGTCGCGTAACATATTGCTTTTTAGTTTAGTCCGTCGCTAATTTGCGACGGAAATTTCCGTCGGTGTGCTGTTTACAACGACGGATATTTCCGTCGGAAGCAGTAATTTCCGACCGAAATATTCCGTTGCAAAGCTTATTTTACGACCGAATATTTCCGTTGTTGGTAGTGTATTTTGCGACGAAATTTATTCCGTCGCTGGTTTACGACCGAATAATCCGTCGGAAAGGGAGGTGAGTTCCGACGGATTTAACTCCATTTTTCCGTCGCTGGTGAAGTACTTCCGACCAATATAATTCCGTCGCAAACTGCTTTTCCTTTCTAACAAAAATATTAACAAATATTATTATAATTGCGTATGTTCCTACACCAAATACCTGTGATAATTAAAACTATTATCAAATTGCAAAAATATTAATAAATATTATTTTCTCAAAAGCTATATATATCCAAAAGCTACATAATATATAGTAAGTTCTACAAAAGCGAGAACATAATCAAACGCTACATAAAATCGATCAAATTAAGTTCTTGTCCATACTGCACAAACCTAAGCTAAGCTGAAAAACTGCAGGGGTACCCTGGCTTGCTCCTCCACTACCCGAATCATCCCTAGGGTCTCGACGTTGAGGCTTCATGGTGGAACATCCGTCGGTGTTGTTGCCGAATCGACTTATGAAGTCATTCCACCTCTCCTCGGCTCTCCTCTCCATTTGGGCCACTTCAGCTCGAATTTGAGCTTGCATCTCAACTTCCATTTCACTCCGAAGTTCACTCCGTATTTCACTCCGGAGTTCACTGCGGATCTCACTACGAAGTGCCTCGACCCTGTGCTCCATCTGATCCTGCATCTGAGAAACAACGGATGGTGTGTACTGTTGTGGAGACCTAGACACCCGACCCATCCGTTCGCCATAGTACAACGATGCGCTTTCGCCAAGTCCCCCCACTCGACCCTTCTTGTTGCGACCACCCACAGTCTCCCAATACAACTCATTGGGACTCTTTTTAATCCCTTGGGTGGTGGCTTCTTCAACCTTCTTCTGGTAGGACTCCTACAAGAAATACATTATACAATTATATATGGTTTTAATAATTTAGCAACAACATCAGTTACAAGTAAAGCAACATATAAGTGAAAATGGAATCAATAAACAATAAAAGAACCATATTTCTAAGTTTAAGGGTTTATATACTAAAAATGAAGCCATTTCAAGCCTTTATGGCTTCTTACATGCCTATTTCCAACATTTCTTTACTTTTTAACTCATTCTTTGTCAAACCATCTCATATTTACATACTTATAACATATTATGGGTTTAAATCACATAAAAGAACCATATTTCTAAGTTTAAGGGTCTTTATCCTCAAAATGAAGCCATTTCAAGCCTTTATGGCTTCTTACATGCCTATTTTCTATATTTCTTTACTTTTTAACTCATTCTTTGTCAAACCACCTCATATTTACATACTTATAACATATTATGGGTTTAAATCACATAAAAGAACCATATTTCTAAGTTTAAGGGTCTTTATCCTCAAAATGAAGCCATTTCAAGCCTTTATGGCTTCTTACATGCCTATTTCCAACATTTCTTTACTTTTTAACTCATTCTTTGTCAAACCATCTCATATTTACATACTTATAACATATTATGGGTTTAAATCACATAAAAGAACCATATTTCTAAGTTTAAGGGTCTTTATCCTCAAAATGAAGCCATTTCAAGCCTTTATGGCTTCTTACATGCCTATTTTCTATATTTCTTTACTTTTTAACTCATTCTTTGTCAAACCACCTCATATTTACATACTTATAACATATTATGGGTTTAAATCACATAAAAGAACCATATTTCTAAGTTTAAGGGTCTTTATCCTCAAAATAAAGCCATTTCAAGCCTTTATGGCTTCTTACATGCCTATTTTCTATATTTCTTTACTTTGTAACTCATTCTTTGTCAAACCACCTCATATTTACATACTTATAACATATTATGGATTTAAATCAAATAAAAGAACCATATTTCTAAGTTTAAGGGTTTATATACTCAAAATGAAGCCATTTCAAGCCTTTATGGCTTCTTACATGCCTATTTTCTATATTTCTTTACTTTTTAACTCATTCTTTGTCAAACCATCTCATATTTACATACTTATAACATATTATGGGTTTAAATCACAATAAAGAAGCATATTTCTAAGTTTAAGCCAACATAATAAGTAAACCATACAAAATTATATTAAAATTGTTACCGCTATGTTTTTGGATTTGACATTGGCAGGCACCATTCCTTTCCCAGGGACCTCCTTGAAGTGCGTCTTCATGAAAAGCTCATGTGCAGTAGGTAACTGCCCTTTGTTTTTTGTCGCCTTTGAATGTACATGCACAAAAACAAATAAAACTTTTCATTCCAATATGAACCCAATTGTTACCTATTTACATGCCTTATAAAGAAACTAACCATCCTTTTTGCATGTTGTACAGCTGAAATTGAACCCTGGTAGTGAGTTGGTTCAACCACATTGTCCAATGATCCGCCTCTTCTATTCTTCTTATTTTGTTCGGACCGTTTCTTGTACGTATCATCATTGGAAACAATGTTCATCATCTTCCGGTGGACGTCATCAATAAGCCAGCCCGGCTTCTGACCTTTCATCTTGTGTGTGATTGTGTGAAACATGTCCTTCAACCGATATGCGAACTTGGATTCGAAGGTTGTCTTCACATGGTCCTCCAACTAGGGTGCCCATGTGCATTGCTTCTGCAATTGACAAAAATTTAAAGTTAACAACCAAAACTCAAACTTCGCAATTAGTAATACATAGTTGTAAGTATAAAATGACATACACAAAACAAGTTCCACCAATGCTCCTTTATTTTAGCATCAACTTCTCCGTAATTCCTCCAAGGCTTTCGATAGTAGCCTGTTAGGGTACCGGAGATGGCCTTTACCACGGCTTTATCATCAAACCTATTTTAACGTACATCAAGATCAAAAAGAAAATAAGTAGTTCATGTTAGAGTATTCCATAGGTCATGATATAAAATATGGATACAAAGGGATTGAAATAACAACTAAATATATACCAGCACGTGGCAGGGTCTAGTACCACCCTCTGAGAAGACTGCGAGGCATGTTGCCCCTGAAGCTGTTGCGCCTGAAGCTGTTGCTCATGATGCTCAATCTGCATCTGTGTTTGAGGATCCTCGTCGTCACCCAAATCTTCCGCCTCCTCCGCATCCTCCATTTCCTCATCATCATCATATATCAAAACCTGTCTTTTCTCCTTTCCTTTTCTACACTTCGACGTTTCTCCTTTTTTCCCTCCCACCATTGCAACCTGAAAAAAACGTACGTAACATGCTATGATATTATTAACATTACAAAAATTAGTAGTACAATGAGATGTTAAAGTAATAAAATAGAACGACCAACTCCATAATTGGTTTTACAATAACAATCAAATTAAACCGACAATTACATTCAAGGTACAAGCAAATGCATCCTATTTATTTTACAATAACAACCACATTTTCCTACTCGTGGCTTTCATCGCTACTATCACTACTGGTATTATCACTACTATCATCTAAAAACACATTGATGTCAGTATCCTCGTCACTGTCACTAGAGTCGACGCTGGATTCATCATCTGATTCACTTGAGATTATTAAGTCGTCATCATCATCTTCGTCGTCATCCTCAACTGGGTCGTAGTCAGGAATGTCATTCGGTGGACAAAGCGTTGCATATACTTCTGGGGACGGTGCCTGCAAAAACTCAAGGTCTACTGGAGCATCAACCACTGACCTTGCTTGTGTTTTAAACACATACCACCATTGAACTCAATCCCGTTTTAGGATAGGGTAGGATGTGTAGTACACTTGGGTCACTTGATAAGATAATACGAAGGGATCATACTTGGGGTATTTCTTAGTATGTTTCACTTCAACAAGCTTATATTGTTCATGTATGTTCATACCCCTACCACAATCCATCCAACTACACTTAAAGAGTATAGTCTTATACTCTTTAATTGGACCAGTGTAGACAAGTTCAATTATATCGTCTAGAATGCCAAAGTACTCTCCACCGTCCTCACTAGACACACAAACACCGTAATTCATCGTAGACTTGTGTTTACCATAGGAATGTTTATGGAAATTAAATCCACCAACAAAAATCCGCTTCCAAGTTCGAACACGCTTGAAAGGACGCATGCACAAAGCTTGGAGGACATCCGAATTTGGTTTCCCTTCAACCACCTATTTACGTCAGAATAGAAGAATAATTACACAGAATTGCAATATCTAAAAGTCATATTTAAAGAACAGATAGAACAATTCTATCACCTTATGGTGAAACCAATCAGAGAATTCGACGTCACATTTCTCCATGACTTCCTCTCTACGCAAAAAAGGCTGGGTACTAAGAACGTAGTCCTCAAACTTCCTATTAGGTCAATGACACGAGATAAAATTAGTAATTCAACCGATTTAATTCTTCAAAACTATGAAAAAATTTCAATCCTGACCACGTATACCTTTCGTATTCACCAAGAATGCTGCAGTTTCGTAAAACAAACAAATGAGCACACTCGAGTTCCTTTTCATCTAAGTATCGGGTTTTACCCTCAGATGAGACACGACCGCTATCCTCTGAGAACAACTCCGGTAAGTCAGCGTTCTCCAATGTGGATTCCACGTCTACATTCACATTTCGACCAAGATCCCGAGTTTTTGTGTCAACTGACGCCTGGAAGTAATTTGAGCAAAAGTTTGCTACCTATTCGGTGAGATAAGCATTGCATATTGAACCTTCAACTCGTGCCTTGTTCCCAATTTTACGTTTCAAGTGATTAAGGAACCTGCATTTAAAATACTATAATTAATTGCGTAAATAGATCATGACTATGAAGGGTTTGTATGAAAGAAATTAATGGGACTTTGATTTACCTTTCGAAGGGATACATCCATCTATATTGAACAGGACCACATAACTTTCCCTAATCGCTCCATAGAGTTGAAGAATGCAGGAGGGAAAACCTTCTCAAGCTTGCAAAGGATTTCAGCTATGTTTTTCTCTAATCGCTCCATGTCACTAACTGTGATTGTGTAACAACACAAATCACGGAAGAATTGACTGATCTCTGTAACCGCATTCCAAATATGGGTAGGGAGCAATTCCCTCAAAGCAGTGGGCAACAACCTCTCCATGAACACGTGACAATCGTGGCTTTTCATTCCATGAAGCTTACAGGCTTGTAAATCTACGCATCTGCTCAAATTGGAGGCATATCCATCTGGAAAACGCAACTGTTTAACCCATTCACACAACACTTTTCTTTGAGCCTTGTCAAGAGCGAATGGGGCTTTTGGCATAAACTCTTTTCCTCTATCATCTTCATCCATATGAAGTTGTGGCCGTTTACAATATTTGGCAATGTCATTTTGAGTCGATGGCGTGTCACATGTATGCTTTTTCACATCCATTATGGTGTGGATTAGCTGATCAAAGAAGTTCTTTTCAATGTGCATGACATCCAAGTTGTGACGGATGAGCAAATGCTTCCAATAAGGAAGTTCCCACAACAAGCTTTGCTTGAACCACCCGTTTTTTGCTTTTTTAGGTGTTTCAATGCCTCCGGTCCATCAGTTGCCTTTGGAAGGTGTCTCACACATTCCCACAATTCCTCACCTGACATGATGTGTGGAGGTGAACCTTTTTCGACTTTGTTTTTACAAAATGCAGTTTTGCTTTTTCGAAAAGGGTGTTCTGTTGGAAGGAATTGGCGATGGCAATCAAACCAAGAAACTTTGCCACCATGTTCAAGCCAAAATGTTTTGCTTTTATCCATACAATAAGGACAAGCCTTCTTACCAGCTGTGGTCCAACCAGACAACATACCGTAAGCTGGGAAGTCACTAATGGTCCACATGATGGCTGCTCGAAGATTAAAATTTTGTTTCCTTGAAATGTCATAAGTATTTGCGCCAAATTCCCATAAATGCTTCAACTCTTCTACCAGAGGTTGCATATACACGTCCAAATTTCCCTTAGGGTTCTTAGGACCAGGAACAAGCAATGAAATAAACATGAATTGTCTTTTCATACACATTGAGGGAGGCAAGTTATAAGGGGTCAATATGACAGGCCAACAAGAATATTGTCCCCCAAACTTACCATGAGGAGCAAAACCATCTGTACACAAGCCAAGTCGAACATTACGAGGCTCATTGGAAAATTCTGGGAAGCAATTGTCAAGGTGTTTCCAAGCTTCACTATCACTAGGGTGCACCATTGTGCCTTGAACTCGAGGATTTTTCGAATGCCATGTCATTTCCTCCGAAATGTTCTTGGTTGCATAGAGCCTTTGCAATCTCGGTGTGATCGGAAAGTAAATTAAAACATTCAAAGGCACTAAGCTACCTTTGGAAGTCTTCTTGTATCGGTCGCTACCACACACCCGACATGAAGATAACTGAACATCATCCTTCCAAAATAGCATACATCCTTTCGGGCATGCATGAATCTTTTCATGAGGCAACTCCAGCCCCTTTACAATCTTCTTCACCTCATAGAATGTATCGGCCATATGGTTGTTGTTAGGAATAGCCTCATTGACCAAAGAAGCAAACCCATCAACACATCTATGGGGCAAATTATACTCGCACTTAAGACTAGTAATTCGGGCAGCCATCTCTAAGACAGATAACGAACTCCCTTCGTATAATGGTTGTTTGGAAGCTTTTAACAAATCTAAGAAATGCTTAGCTTGTGCATTAGGCTCCTCCTCTGCCTCTTCAGAATGCCCTTGATCTTCATTATGACCAAAAGCATCGAAAACCATTTCACGGTATTCATTTGACGGCCCTTCAGGAACTCCCGGAAACCCTTCCCCATGACACATCCACTCATAGTAATTAGGCACAAAACCCTTGCGGTACAAATGAATTTTAACCGTTTCCGCATCCCATAGCCGCTTGTTCTTACATTTAAAACATGGACACCTAACTTCATTCAGGTTGCTGCTCTCGGGATGATCTTCCACGTATTTAAGGAATTCATCTACCCCTTTCACAAAATCCGGATTAATAGAATGTCCAACCTTCCTTTCATACATCCAGCTACGTTCTGTTCGTTCCATGATTACAACTTCTACACAACTCACGAATATGTATAATTACATTAGTCACAATGCGTATTGAATATTCATTATCCATAAAAATGTTATGAATATGCAAATAAGATTGTAAATGATGTCCAAAGGTCCTTATCACTCCAACCTAACCCATCCTTGGACATTTAATCTCAGTAGCGAATGTATGCCAGGTTTTCAATTCTATGGAAAATCCGGCAGCATTTCCCTTAAGTTCTCCAAGTACATGATCAAGGGTATTAGATAACCCGTCATATGTACCCAGAGAACATTGTAGAGAAATGACAAAGCAGGATAATCCCTAGAATCAATAACAAGGCATACATTCACCACCTAAGTGAGAATAAACGTCTGAGGACAGTCCCAACCGGGGACTATTCAAAACATACTCCTAATGAGTATGACTTGAACGGGTATCTAGGCAAATGATTATGCAAATGATTCATTCAAAAGTATATAAAGCCCAAAACACATCCATTGTTATAACACATTCATTATAACACATCCATCATTATAACACGCTCATTTTAAAATATTTCAAGCAAATAACACAACCATTATAAAGTAAAGAACACAATTAATTAAATTAAATTAATAATTATAAGTAAACCAAATATATCATAATCATCATTTAATTAATATAAATAATCATATGTAAACAATTTATATTCATAATTAAATTGATACAAAAAATTATTAATCATTACATTAACTAAACAAAACTAGTGAACATTACATTACATAAAACAAAACTAATATACATTATAAAATTATCACAAATTAAACTAAGCTAACATACATCATTATACTAAACAAAACCAATATAAACTAACATATAATCCCGTACATTATTATAATAAAATATCAACCTAAACTAACATATCATGTCATACATTATTATGATAAGCCCCTACATTATTATAATTTCACATGCAATGTCTTACATTATTATGATAAGCCAAATTAAACTAACATATCAACCATTATTATAATAAAATAAATCAAACTAAAGTAACTTAAAATTATCACAAAATAAACTAAACTAAGAATTTTTAAAAATGTCATGTCACTAACCTCAAGATCTGCACTATTTATTGAGATTCAAAGCAAGTAAATGTTCAAATCCTATAAATAGTAAAAATTAATATGTCAATTTTTATAATAAAGGTACAATTATTTTTTTAAAAATAAAATATATATATATATATAATAAATGTACAATTACCGGTTGTAGAACGGCGGGTGGTGAAGATGGTGGTGGTCGGAGCGAGGACAATAATGGAGGAGGAACCGGCGGTGGTGGCTGCTTGTAAAGGCGCCGACGGTGGTGGGTGTTCGAAGGATTTTCAGACTAAAATTTAAAAATAAAAGTAAAAAAAAAAAAAAAAAAAAAACACAACCTACACTAACCGGCGGTGGTGGCTGCTTGTAAAGGCGCCGACGGTGGTTGGGCGACGCGGGACCTCTGACCGGCGCAGGGTGGTGGCTGTTGCAGACGGTGATAATTGTAGTGGAGAAGAGGCGTGTTTATATTTTTTTTTTTTAAAAAAAAAACAAAACCTACACTTACCGGCGGCCGACCAACGGAAGGGCGGGTCGACCAACGGAAGACGGATCTCCGGCTGCGGCGAACGACTGCGGCGAACGGAAGGACGGCGGCGGATCTTTCTTTCTTCTTTCTTTCGTTCCTCTCTGTTTCTTCCTCTCTCTTTCTTTCGAATTCGTAGCAAATGGACCCAACATCAAAACCCTTGAATTTTGTCTAATTAAATTTCCGACGGAATTAATTCGGTCGGAAAATATAGTTTCCGACGGAATATTCCGTCGTAAATGAATATTCCGTCGAAAACTATATTTTCCGACCGAATTTAATTCCGTCGGAAACTTTGCGAGGAAATTTCTATCGTTAACTATGTTTTCCGACCGAAATTAACGTCAAACTTAAATCCGTCGTTGATTATAGGATTTGCGGCGGAAAATCATGTCCGTCGACATAATTCGGTCGAAAATTGGCCCACTTCTAGTAGTGGATGTTCAAGAAGTTTTTTTTTTCCGAAAGAATGAAGTTATATTATTGACATAACCAACACATAAGTAAGTTTTCAAAAAATCCATATTTAATTGCACTCCAAAATAATGTTAAACTAGATGAAGTCAGTGCGATGCACGGTTTATTTGAATTTTTAAAAATATTTTTTTTATGCATGTGCTAAAATTTGTTATATATTTAGATAAAATTCATAATAACAAAAGATAATATTTTATATTTAATTAAATTAAACTTAAAAATCTCATTCGACAATTTTGCTTACATGGCATTTGAATTATTTAATTTTAAAATAAATTAAAAATCTCTTATTTTATTGGTTACAATTAAAATTTATAATCCTACGTGGCGCCTTAAGAAAATTAAATCATATATGGCTCTCTAAAAACCCAGGAAAAAAACTCTCCTTTATATATAAGGTGAAAGGGGTTTTGGATGATAAATTTCACTTTCCTAAATGCCCCTTACATCTTGGTTCTCAAAAAAAAAAAAAAAAAAAAAAAAAAAAAAAAAACCTTCTATCTTTTCTTTTTTAAATTTTATTTTGAGGAAAGTCAACTTTAATTATTTAGCCTAAGGGTTTGTTCACATTTACTGAAATAAGCTGAACTGAACTGAATATTTTATGAGAGAGGGAAATTAAAAGCTGAACTGAAAAAAAAAAAAAAAAAAAAAAAAAAAAACCTTCTATCTTTTCTTTTTTAAATTTTATTTTGAGGAAAGTCAACTTTAATTATTTAGCCTAAGGGTTTGTTCACATTTACTGAAATAAGCTGAATTGAACTGAATTAAATTAAGTAAATGTGAACAGGCCCTAACATGACATCATCAATATAATTTCAAATAACATATATTTATTATTATATTTTATCAATAATTTTTAAATCCACTAATATTACATACCTCTATTTTTTTAAAATTAGAATTAAGGAGATAATATTGTGGAATAAAAACAGAGAATCTAGCTTCATAGATTATTTATATTGCTTATGTCTCTTAACTTGTACATATAATTTGAGTGTATTTAAACTTTATTAATTGAAATTTCGAGGCCATCGCTAGGTAATGGATGTGAAAGATACTTGACCTTCGCACCAGGATTAAGCAATTTCCACCTGCAAAGATTATCAAATTCAAATTATAGGTAAGGTGTATTTCTCATTAATACGAAGTATTATCAATGAGGTATGAGTACAAAATAAATTCCGTTAATTTTTTTGAATTAATTCCTTTAATTATTATGTCCTAATTTGATTTTTGATTTATTTTGATATAATCATATGAAATTAACAATGAGGGTAACTAAAGGCGCCTTACTTGTATCCAATAGACAAATGATGGAGAAATATGGCTAGTGAAACTCGAACAAGCGCACTTCCCGCACAAGATCTCGAACCTCCCCCAAAAGGATGATATGTTCCTTGCTTTGGGCGAGTCTGCAAAACGAAGTTTAATTGACGAAGTATAGTTTAAGAAAAAGCCAAAAATCGACCAACTTTTAAAATTGGAATGTTGTAAAAAAAAAAAAAAAAAAAAAAAAAAAAAAAAAAAAAAACCTTTTTTTGGTGTAAAAAAAGCACCTCAATCTTAGGTTTTTTTTTTTAAATTTTTTTTTTTAAAGACCTCTTAAATCATAATTTTTTTCGAAGGAAACCACATTTTTTTTAATTAAGAATATAATATTAACTAAGCAAATAAATGATCTATACTTAGTATTTAAAAAAGCAAACAAAAAAAGACATATGTCATCATTCTATTACACTTTCCTATTTTCTTCTTCAACTCAATGTACCACATGTCGTTTTACAATTTTTTTTTTAATTATACAGTTTTTTTTCTTAAGTAACTCTTTCATTAGACACTTCATCTTCATCTCCCCTCTTAAATTCAACCTTTTTTATTTTCTCTCTTTGATTTTAGTCCCTCCATCTTCTTTCTATTAAGTCTCATTTCAAATTAAAGTCTCAAAATTTTTACTTCTTTAATTATGGTTTTAGTTACATATTACACTTATAAATATTTATTGGTATTTCCTCGCTCATCTCTCTATGCAATTTTCTATGAACAAACCGTACATTGCACGGGCCAGAAGGCTAGTTTGTTTAATTATTAGTAGCTAGTTCTATTAAGCTAATTAAGTGATTAATAGTGTGATAATAATGCAACAATATATACTTACATCCCATCTATCTGGATTAAAGGACATAGGATCTTCAAAATTTGTTGGATCATTGTGAAGGTTCCTTAGCCATACAAGAACACTCCAACCTTTTGGTATTAAGTAACCTGCAAAATAAGTATTGAAATAACTATTTAATAATTTCTCATAATTAAGAAATAAATGTATAATTAAATTAGGGAATTAATGAATTGTAACCTTCAAATACAATGTCATCGGTGGCTTTCCTGAACACAAAGGCAGAGAGGTTTGCCATTCTTATTGTTTCTTCCGCAACCTGCAACAATAATAAGCTACCCATTTATTTTTATATTTTCCTATTGACAATACATACATTATATTATGAAAGATGACATACCTTCTTTGTGTACTTGAGCTTCAAAATATCTTCATATGTGATGCTCTCATTGTTGTCCTCTTTAAACATAGCCTTGTTCTCCTCCTACATTTATAATTTAATTATTAAGGAATCCAGTGAACAATTCATATATTACTTGGCATTATTAATTTTTATTATCATATTCTACAAAGAAAATTAAAGATCATGATAGATTATGAAACATGATCCTTCAACCATCTGCTTAATTTTCTTTGGTTGGTCCTTTAACAGATCACTTCATTTTTTTAATAACTTTGTTTTATATATATATATATATATATATATATATATATATATATATATATATATATATATATATATATATATATATATATATATATATATATATATATATATATATATATATATATATATTTACCAAGTGTTATGACAGTATGGCTAGATATTTTCCCTAATGGAATTGAGCAAAGAAATTTAAGTTACCCGAAGCTTGAGTAGAACATGAGGATTATTGGCTAAAAACTGCAGAGACCATGTCACAGCATAAGCAATAGAAATGTGACCAACTAGAATAGTGCTCACAACATTATCTAACACCTCTTCGTCGCTTAGATGTCTTTGTTCATTATTCTTCATTTGCATTAAACCATCCATTAGATCGCTTATTATTGCACTTTCTCCCGAAACACTATCTTTATTCTTCTGCTTCCTTTTCTCTAACTCCTCCTTCAGCTTCTTTGTAATCTCCTTTCGACACTAGATTACATGCTTAATTAATTAGTTGATCACAAAAATTACAATAAACCAACTTTACTTACAACTTATCGAGAAAATACAAGTTTATGAATATGATAAACAAAATTTGTTTATCAAATGACAAAATTGTAAATAAATCAACAACTTTTTAATAAATATGGGTCCCACTATTGTTGATATATTTACAAAAATGCCATGATGATTGGGCATTTATGTTGTTTTATTTACCATTTTGTCATTTGATAAACAAATTTGTTTATCAAATTGATTAACTGCGGCTTCCTCTTATCGTATACATATAATTGTTTTTGTACATGTAATTTTGCTTTCAACAATAATTCCATATTTCCATGAAGATAAGGTATATACGTATTGAGATACATTATATACATGCATGTTTGCTATACCTTGTTAATATCTATAAATCTATAATGACTTTATTTCAAAAAGTTCAATTTTTTTTTTTGACACAACAACAAATTATTATGTCATATGTCATGTATGTAATTAATACAGTAATTAGCTTATACAATGAACTATTACAAACTAATTACAAAGTTCACTAAAATATACTCAAAATACGCACGTACCTTGAGGGCATGATGATAAGCTGTGCCGGGAAGGTTCCATGGTTGTGCTCGAAAGCCATAAACTATACCCTGGTATAGCTTCTCAATAGCATCTATTTGAGAGCTACCAATTTCAAGATGAGCGATATATCTCATAGTATAATCAAGCGTTACCTATTTATTAGTCATACAAAGACATGATTAATATTACTTCCAATTAATTATCTATTCACTGTGTTTTGCATACAAATTAGATGCGTAAAATGATACAATTTTTACCTTTTTTACTTGATAAAATGCATTGATTTTAGGCATTTGAGACCATAATTGAAGGGCAGCAACAATGGTAGGCTGAATTTGGAGCACAATCCTTGAAAGATAATCAGGCTGGTTGATGGATTTGACAATAGCACTCTTAATAATACTATGTTGTTGGCCCTCATTAAGCGTGATTACAGAATTAGCTCCTAATACTTGGGTAGTTGGCCATTCTTGTGTAAATTTATCGCTCGAATTGAGTACAAATTTGCACAAAGACGGGGAGCATGCTATGATGCTTGGAGACCCATACAAGTGGCTTCTATATATTCCCTCCTTATATCCATACCTTCAATTAAATTTGCGAAAAAAATAATAATTTAGATAAATCGATTATCTTTCTTTAGAGCAGTCGATGCTCGTGTATAGGATAAAAAGACATAATACTTGTACACATTACTTACTTGTGTTTTTTAAAGGTGATAAAATCGTCAGGACGACTAACAATATTAAAGAGCCATAGAAAGGAGAGGGTCTCCCCCAACAAAGGGAAACCCAAATGACCGAGAGGTATTTTGACATTGGATGCAGAGCACCTTGCCTTGAGTGGTCTAACATACCATATCTCATTCCACCACCATGATAACCACCCTATCATTGATAATAATAACACTACACTTACAATACATATCATGCTATTTATATTTGTTGATTTTCTTATTCCTTCAATTATAGACGAACAGAAAAGAAAGATGGTCTAGTTTTTTTTTTTTTTTTTTTTTTATGCATGCATGTTATGATAACACTTTACATTGACAATCCATGTATATATATTTAATGCCACAAATGTTGTACCTACGCTATAGAAGATAATAAATTGACCACAAAATATAAATGCTTTAGTTTTTGCACCATGCTAAATATCTTACATGATTTAATTTAATTTAATTTTTTTTTTTTTTTTTTTTTTTTTTGCAAGTAGCTAGGTGATGATAAAGTAGAGAATATCTCCAACAAAAACAATTAAATAAAAATAAAAATAGAGAATTTTTATAGAATTCATATATGACATTTTTATATATCTTGTAGCTCATCTCTCAATGAAACCCTATAAATATTGATTAATGGAAATCACTTTAATAATGTTTGAGTTTTATATTATCTGACATGATATCAGAGCCATTCTACAATACAAGATCGAAACCTCTCACAAGCTAACCCTGCCGAGTTTGTGGGCTAGATACTTTGAAAATAAAGGGAAGAATGAAAAAAATTTATATACGTCATAATACCTTTAATGGATATTAAACCCTCAACGTCAAGATTGAAAGATTTAATCCTTACTTCTAGGTCAAACTTTGTTTAATAATATCTTCGGAATTATAGGTACTCATAAACTTATAATACAAGTTTGTACAGAGGGATGATTATATATCGTGGGATTAGCATTATTATTTACTACCTCCGTTACAGGTTATGTCAATGATTTGACATAAAGCAGAGAGGGAAAATGTCTAATCGTTGCACATAATCTGTAATGGAGGTAATATTAATAAGTGGCGAATAATTGAGACACGTTTTGGTATGTATAGATGTATTATTTGATCCTATACCTTAAGATAAGAACATAAGGCATTGCTTCTATTGGTTGGTTTAATTGGTTTCGCAAGTCACAACAAATTTAAATAGTGATGAATGATGGTGGGGTCCTTACTGCTTACAAAGTTGCAAGGATTTGTTCACATGTCATATCTCATATGTCAGGCTTAAAATGAGAGTTGTTGGTAAAACAATTGTATGTTGTCTATACATATAACACTATTAGAAATTTGACACATCAACAGAAAATAGGAGAAAATTTGGAGTCAAATATAAATTGAATTTAATGGAACTTGTGCGTATTATTTTAACCAATAGAAACATGCCAAATTAGAGTTATATGTAGGGATCACATACAACAATTATATGTATAACTTTTTTATTTTTTGAAACCTTGTATGTATAAGCTTTACCCCCTTAAAACAGGTTTTCTTGTGCGTGGATGTTATCGTGATGGTGATACTAATAATTACGAAGTATACAATAATTATCGTGATGGTTTTCTTGTGCGTGATGGTGCCTGGGCCCTTGAGCACTAGGAAGAGAATTCAAAATGAAAAAAAGATAGAAAAAAAAACACAACACCATTTTTCTAAGTTGATATTAGAGTCTATTGATTTATTTTAATTATACAATATCTTACTAATTGAGGGGTTTCAACATACATAATCATCAACTTAATTTCTAAGCCAAGTCTTTAACATGATATTATAACTTAGTCCTTTGATATATTCTGGTGGCATAGTCGATACTGGATAGGAAATTTTGTCAACAACTACCAATTATAGCTTCTGTTTTGAAAACAACTACCTTTTAAATTATTTTTTTAAAAAACAACTACCACAAAAATTTTAAAAGTTAGAGTAGCACTACCACATTACTATTTCCGGCTAGAATCTCTGGTGATAGGGGCCCACTTTTCACCTATATAAACTAGGGGTGAGCATGGGACAGGTACCCATACCATTAGTACTAATGGTTCGGGTACCCGATAACCAATATCACTAAAAGTGATATCCATAACCCGAACCGATAAGTTCGGGTACCCGAATTTTCGGAACAGTTATCGGGTACCCTATAAAGTATCTAATAGTGATAATTAAACTTAAAAAATTAGTTATTATGATATTTTTTAACACTAATTAACAACAATACCACATGATCTTGAACAAATTATTAATAACATTACTAATTATTGATATTTATAGTGATTATGAAGTAATGTAAGAGTTTAAATATTGAAAAAATAGATTTAAGTAGGAAAAAAAAAAACAAAATAAATGCTTATCGGAACGGAACAGGTACCCGTTAATTTTAAAATGATACCCAAAAACCATACCCGATAACAAATTATCGGAACGGGTACCCGAATCGTTATGGTTATCGGATCGGGTACCCTAATTTTTGGAACGGTAACGGAACGGGTTTTCGGTTTTTCGGGTAGTTTTGCTCAGCCCTAATATAAACAGTGATATAGAGAGGAGAGAGAAACTCATATTGGAGGGAAAGGTGAAAAGTGGGCCCCTATCACCGGAGATTCTAGCCGAAAATAGTAATGTGGTAGTGCTACTCTAACTTTTAAAATTTTTGTGGTAGTTGTTTTAAAAAAAAAATAAAAAGATAGTTGTTTTCAAAACAGAGGCTATAATTGGTAGTTGTTGACAAAATTTCCTACTGGATATGGGTCCTGCTATGTACCACTGTCATTGTCAATGCTTTAAAAGTTTTGTATGCATTAACAATTATTATCTAATTCATTGCCTGTCTTCTAGATATTATTCCCACGGGTCCTTTTTATTTTTCCTATTAAGGATCTTTACATTTTTTTTTTAAATATAAAATGGTCTTGACATTGTTCGTATGTTAAGGTAATATTCTAAATAACTCTCGATATATAAAATATAACGTATAGACCATTTTGGGTCTTATTAATTTATCTCATTGGGTAGTTTATTACTATATATTTAATTGTTGCAGTATAAATTTTAATTACTTCGTAATATAAAATAAATATTTATGTTTAAAGTAATCCGGTGACATGCGCACAGATAAAGGGAAAGAACATTTGGGACATGATGGAGTAATATTATTATCCTTCTCTCTTTGTTAACATCCATATTAAAGACACTCATTTGTAGGATCGTTCTAGTTCTATATCCTAAAGAAAAAATAAAGAAATAATTTTTGTGGTTAGTGTAGTGATGATGAGTATTTTTGACCGGTAGCATATGCTACATAGCATTGCAATTAACTCAATCATTTTTATTTTATTTTTTTTAAAACCAAACCAATCTTAATTAATTAGCTCGTATACATGAGTAACATGACAAAAGCTCAGTACATCCTGATCAAACTCAATCTCAAAGGCATGTAAAGGTATTAAGCTAAACGAAAATTGTACTCATAGTAAACAATGGGAAATTGTTATTTTAAATGTTGCAAAAATTTTTTGGCTGCTGAAAGAGTATAAAACTATTTTCGGGCCTCAACCATCACCTTAATCTTAGGGGTTTTTATTCGTGCTAGGGCAGGGAAACTTCTCGTTGTTGCTGTGAGGAAGGTTGATGTGTTGTGGGAGGCCAATATAGCCGAGGCAGTGGCTGCTAGATACGGGCTTCAGCTCGCCCTTCGTCTTGGATTTTGCAACGTGTGGCTGGAGGAGTGGAGGGAGATGCTATAAATGTGCAGAAGGCAATCAACAATGCAGAAATTGGTCGAGCACCGATTTTCCTATTGTATGATGATATTAAGAGGTTATCTAGTTTGTTTGATTTTTTTTTCGTTAATTCTCATAGTGGCTGATTTAATTGCTAGATGGGACACGAGAGGTAATGATAAGCTAGTTTGTATGGGCTAGTTTGGTTTGTTTCCCCAAAGTATTGGTTGGGTTGAAAATCTTTGCGAGGAAAATAGTTTTCCATACTTTACATTGTTTGGTTTGGGCCAAGTATGAAAAGAAAATTTTGGACTGAAAACTATTTTCCTTTATACAAGAAATTGTTTTCCCCCAAATTAGAAAGGAAGTCGTATTTTCCTCTCCCCTTCTATCTTTCCCCTTCTTCAGTTCTCCTTAAGCTGCAAAATCAAGTAGATCTCCTCACTTGATCTCTTGTTGCAAATTGGTAATATTCTCTCTCTTCTTGACTTGATTATTAATCTAGAGTTTAATTGGGTTTAAAATCTTATTACATTAGGTTTTTTTTTGCCCATATTTTGATAATTTTAGGGTATTTTTGCACAAAAATTGTTAATTCATCGATTTGAAATTATTTTTCTGAAGTGATTAAGTTTTCTAAAAATGATTATAAATTGGGAATTTGTTATAAGATGCAATCTACTTGCTGCAAATTTTATTTTCATTCATATATTTACATGTTTTTATCATGCCCACGAGTGTTTGCAATTGTATCACCTAATATTATTTTTATTTCGTTTAAATTGGAAAATTGTTTTACATATAACCAAACAAGGGAAAATGTGTAGGAAAGTACATGGAAAAAGTTTTTCATGGAAAATAATTTTCAATTGAAAACATTTTACACCCAATCAAACAGGGCCTTTACCTTTGGTGGAACTTGATTTGCAATAATAATTCCCATCTTCTTCTTTTCAAAAAAAAAAAAGTTTCTAATTTCTAAATTAGCTACCTAGCATTGCTAGCCCAACTAGATGGCCTGGATCCACAAGACCACAATTAGTTTGTCACTTTGCTGTGAATCCTGTGATCTTTATACATGTAAACATCAAATATTATTCCATTATAAAGTTTATTACTCATACTGTCATACTGCTTTAGACCTTTAGTACTCAATTTGTTAAGGTTTACCACAAGTCCTTAGCTAGCTAATTTCTCGGGACTGCTACCAATATTTTCTAAATTCCTTTTCCATATTCAATACTTTAAATGAAGTATTTCCCACATAATAACGTTAGTACAAATTAAACGATATAGTAATTTGGGAATTAGAAAATTGCAAGTTTGGTAAATTAGTGATTTCATTCAATTTAAGAAAGGCGAATATAACATGATTGTTTGAGTGTTTTTCACACAATTACGGTGAAAAGATAGGACTTATAAAGTTATAGGTGACATTCATTTTATTTGATTTTCCAAATTTTGAACTTACATAACTAGAATGAAGAACTTTAGTGACTCATTCAAATCTATACTTATATTAAGCAGTCTAGTAGTTCCTTGAACTTGAGCACGTAAAACATACACGTATAAGATTCAATATAGTCGCTCTATGCTTTTACATGATCCAATATAACACTATATACTTCTACAGAGCCGCATGACTGATTGACTAAGTTCACTAAGTTACATGCGTTCTCAATTCCTATACTAGATGCCTCTAAAAACTTCGTCTACATTGTTGATGAGCAAAGGCAATAACATGATAACATTCCATAACAGAGAAAATAAGAAGAGTAGCAAAGAATTGGAATTTAGTTTTGTTATAACAAGTAGAACAATTTTATTGAAAAAGAAAAGAATAGAAAAAACACAGCACAAAATTCCCATGGCATCAATACCCACTAAGCAAACGACTATTACAAACCATAAACAAAGAAAAAAAGCACAAAGCAAACATCTTAAAAACCAATCACACGTCTTCCCAATTAACTTTATACCCTCCAATTCACCATTTTCCTCTTTCTCTCTCTTCTATTTTGCTTAATTCTCAAGGCTTCTCTTCTTCATCATCTTCTTCTTTCTGCAACTTTTTCAATCAAATACGAACCCCCTGTTTCTGGGTTTGTGTTTGTTTTGTGTTCATCAATGGCGGACGGAGGGTTATACACGAAACCCAAAAGGGTACCAACAACCCAAACACAAAACAAAAAGAAACCAAGTAAGTTTTACTCTAATTTCTTATTCAAAGCCACAATTATCTCAATTTTCTTAGTTACAATCACCCTTTTTCCTTCAGAAGCTCCTGAAATTGTTAGCCCATCATTTTTTTCACGATGGTGGGAGCTTCTTCATTTGATTTTTGTGGGAATTGCTGTTTCTTATGGTTTATTTAGCCGTAAAAAGGTTGATGATGATTCAGAGGGTGATATTGATACTGCTCAGTCTTATGTTTCTAAATTGCTTCAAGTTCCTTCTGTTTTTGATGATGATGCTGATTCCCCAACTGGGTCTCCTGATAATCATATTCATAATCATAGTTTAAATAATAATAGTAAAGTTCAAACATGGAGTTCTCAGTATTATAGAAATGAACCTAAGCTTGTTGTTGCTAACAATAGTGCTATTGTGGATGATAATAAATCTGGGTTTGGTGAAAAACCATTGTTATTGCCTGTTAGGAGTTTGAAATCAATGGTTTCTGATGGTAATGATGTTGATTCTGGGGTTTCTAGGGTTTATGCTAGATCAAATTCTAAGGAATCATCAAATGATTCGAGAAGAATTAGTAGAAATGATGTTAAATTGGTTAGTGAGGAGGATTCTGGGGTTTCTAGAGGTTATGCTAGATCAAATTCTGGTGTAAGTGCAAAGAGTGGGAATGATTCTAGGAGAATGAGCAGGAATGATAGTGTGAAATCTCGAGGCTCGGTTCATAGTGAATTTGGGTCTGTTAATGGGGATGGTGAGGTTTCTAGATCATTGAGTAGGACTAATTCGAATTCGAGTTCGAGTTCAAGGGGTTTTTCAAGGATTTCAAGGAAACCCTCAGGTGGGGATTATGGGGGATTGGATGATGAAGTTGTTGAGGAGCGTAAGGAGAAGGTTGAAGAGAGTGTTGTGCTTCCATCTCCAATTCCGTGGAGATCGAGATCAGGGAGGTTGGAAGTTAATAAAGAATCCATTGATTCTTCCTTGCATTCACTCCCTGCATCACTTGAGGAGAGTGGGGCTGCTCAACTCTTGAGATCAGAGTCTTCTCTGTCATCTCGATCTAGCTCATCGTCTTCTTCACCTAAGAAGCTCTCTCCATCCCCTACACTGTCCTCACCAAAGAAGCTGTCTCCTGCACCATCCTTATCATCAGAGTCTCTAGCTAAAAGTGTTGAGGATTATGGGAGAAAGAAGCCTGTTTATAGTTCCCATCTCCCACCACCTCCGCCTCCTCCACCACCTCCACCTAGTCATAAATCACAATTTGTGAAGGTGAATTCCAGTGAGCTCAATGATGAAAAGTCCAGTCGTCGCAAGGAGTTTAAACGAATATGGAGTGAACCAAAGGACATAGGCGGGGCAAATAGGGAGGAACCATTGAACAGAAGTTATACTGGTTTTGAAACAAAACCTAGAAGTGGCAGTGATAGTTCATCTGTGGGGAAGTCTGTTAGAACTGTTAGAGCTGGTGATATGATATCTGCAAGGAAATCCCGAGATGTTGATGAAGAAAACAGAAGATCAGTGGAAAATGATTCAGAGTCATCAGACATGTCTGAAAAGTCAGAGAGAAAAACTACAGGTTACAATCCAATTTCAAGGGGATCTTTCACAGAATACCCAAAGGAAACTAGGGATTTTCTTGAACAAGTTCTGGTGAGAAGTGATGATGATTCTGAAAGCGAGGATGATAACTATGTTGAAGAACGAGTGGAAACAGCAAAGGTTGAGGAACCGCCTTCTGATAATGTTGATGAGGGGCCTGATGTTGATAAGAAAGCTGATGAGTTCATTGCCAAATTCAGGGAGCAGATCAGACTTCAACGAATTGAATCCATTAAGAGAACAGCTGGGCAACTTAAAAGAAGCTCTGTGAGGTAATGAAGGTTATTTTAGCTGTCTTATTCGCATCACTTGTCTTCCTTAGGGCTTAGGGGCCATATCTTTGTAATTTTAGTTATCATCGGAATTTTACTTGGATACACAATGTATAGAAATTTGCAAAGATTACTCTGTAATCAGCTATGACATACAAATAGTATCTGCTCAATGCTACCATATTGTAGCTTATGACTATGAACCTTATATTGTGCTGAAGATGTCCATTTGTCATTAGAGATTTGAGTTGTAAGTTGTAACTCCTGTAAATTGGCAGTGAAGCTCAGCCAACTAGTAAAATTTCATAGGTAAAATACTTTGAAATCAATTATGAAGCCTTTTTCCTGATAGAATTTTGGGTTGCTGAGCTTTGGTAGTGTAACACATAGCCAATGAAAATTAATCTACAGAGTTTCTAGTGTCGAATATTAAAATGTAATGCACTCGAAAGGGAATTCTGAATGTTAGTCTTGGATTGATCTTGTCAGCTCAGAAGCTGCTACTTTAATTGAAACTTGAATCAATATACCCTACATTCAAATATTTTTCGAACTTGCTGAAAATTTTTTGAGTAGCAATTTGGTGAACTTCAAGTCATTTTGCAATTTTGCTGCTCTGTTGATCAAGAGAGTGCTTCAATGCACTAGCTGTATTTTTACTTATGTAGGATTTCCTCCTCTAGAGTTTTTACACTAAAAATTGTCCTAAGTTACATTCTTCTTGGAGATTGTCCGTTAGCTTTGTCTGCTTGTCATGCAGATAATTTGATGGTAAGTCATACAAATTAAACATATTTCTTGTAAAGGTGCTTATGATCTGGATTTAGTGGTCACATTACTGATTTAAATTACACCATTATCGTGACAATTAATTTTAGACAGTATATTTGGTACTATTAAATGAATCGAGATAAACTTGAAACATTATCCTGTTTCCGTATCGGTTAGGTTAGAGAAAAGTAGAACTTTCTACATTAGAAAGTGTGGGATAGATACCTTATTTGAATAACAGGTAAGGCAATTGACTATCCATTCAATTAAAGCATTATAAGCCAAATAATAAAATTTAAAAGGGGAGACATCAAAACCTAACAAAGTGAAAGGAATTTGGGTTAGGGCGGAAAGAAAATAGCAATAGCATATTCTTTGCCGAGTGAAAAAGAATAAGCTTTTTTGTTATTCTTTGCTTAAGGTAAAAGCCTGTCAATATGAGTCACTACCTCATTGAAAGAGTCTCAAATGGATCTGGTATCATGGAATAAAGTTTAAAGCTAGGATTTTGTTGGACTCGTGGTGTGTAACTTGTACGATGTAACCAAATTGGCTATTAAATTTATTCAAATCATGTTCGGTGTTCTAATTCCTATTAGTAATATGGATTATGATTTTGTTACACCCCCACCCTAGAAAGGATGATGGTGTACTATGTTTACTAACATGAATACGATTTGCATGTGTGCGAAGTTGACTCATTCGAACCAACCTGACTATGAAACTTCAAAAAGGTTGAAAATCAATCTTAATCCTAGTAATATTGATTTTATTGGGAAGATTAAGTACTATCTAAACAAAGTAACTTGTTTATAGACGTGTTATGGGTAAAAATCTACAAGTCTAAGTCAACGGCAGTCAAGCATAGTCAGTGACGAAGACCTGTCTTGACGAAGACGGAATGTGACGACGAGCCCTAAGCATTGGCGGAAGACGAAGTCAAGAAACAACTCCCTAATTTTTAGGAAGAGATAAGTAAAGAAGACTTAGTCCAAGCTCAGCTGATTCAATTCGTTAGATATCAAAACAGAAAAAAAACGTTTCAAGCAACCATAGTCCGAGAATCATGGGAGCAACTTTATCTCCTTGCAACAGCTAGAATTTAACCTAGCAATCATCTATATAAAAGGCAAAGCAACGGTGAAGGAGGGGCAGTTCCATCTAGCAATATTCACACTACATCCCATATTGTAAACTCTGAAAGTAATCTCTCACAATCCCTACAATGTTCTACCAATATACTTCGTATGCAAAATATATACGAAGTATAACGCTCGGTCATTTATTGGGCTAAACCACAATTAATAAATGGGCTAATTTCTGATAAAAGGCCCAAACTCTTCTCCACAAGTCCAAACCATTCAGGCTTATATTAGAGGTCTACCCATATAATTGTCATGGTACCTCCAATCTTTCATGTGGGCCATATAGATATAAAAACTTTTTCATACTATGTAACAGTACAAATTCTTACATAGACCCTGGTCCATCTATCCTATGTGGACCAGGCATTAAACACACTCTTCTCTTAATTAAACACAACTTCACCTTATTCTTTAAATCCCGCCATCTTAACTTTTTTTTTCCTTCTTTATAAGATCACTCTTCCCTATTTAATCTGATTTTTTTACTTCTTTTTCGATCATAATTTAGATCCACAACATTGTCTAGATCAAAGAAATCATCAACATTATCTCTTCTTTTTCTTTTTTTTCTCCTTAATTTCACTCTTCTAAACTTCCTCTCTCTTCTTCTTAACATTTTCTTGCTTCTTCTGAACATTCTTCTTTTGAGACTCTTTCTTAGCCTTCTTTTGAGCTTCCTTTTTAGCTTGATTTTCAGTCTCCTTTTGACTTTTCTTTTTAGCTTGATTCTCAGCTTCTTGATTGGTGTTGGGTGGTGGATTTGGGTTGAAGTTCAGATTGGTTGCTGTAATAAAACAAATGCTTCTTGGATTAAAAAATAACAATATCAAAATTTGAACAGGAATCACAAATTATATGAAATAAAACCATAAAACATTTAAACAGTAATAACAAATTATATGAACTAAAACCACAAAATATTTGAACATTGATCACAAATTATATGAACTAGAACCACAATATATTTGAACAGTAATCACGAATTATATGAACTAAAAACGCAAAACATTTGAACTTATAAAATAAATGCTTCTTAGTTTAAAAAATAACGATATCAATTTTTGAACAGTAATCACGAAATATATGAACTAAAATCACAAAATATTTGAACGATAATCACATATTATATGTACTAAAACCACAAATCATTTGAACAGTAGTTACGATTTATATGAACTTTGAGCCTATGATTTACCCGGTTTCTCCATTTTCTGAATGTTGCTTGTCTATCTCTTTTAAAATATTTGGATCAACAATTGGACTTGTTATATCCAATTTCTTCTTCCTTTTGCTTCGGATTTGAGAAATTGTCCTGTTCAAATAACTCAGGGTTTCAATTCATCATTTAATTTCAAAATTCAACAATTATATAGGGTTTTAATTTACTTACAATTGATCTTCATCACTATCAGAAGAATTTGGGTCCCTAAAAAATGTGAAAAATGTTCAAAAATTATACCCAATTTACAAAAACTACGAATGAAATTTTAACAAATTATAACAACTACGAACGAGTAATTGCAAATTCAAAGAAATTTAAAGAATGTATAAGTTCAGAAATTTTATTTAGCTTTCTGCATTGTTTTCTTGCTTTTCATCCATGGCTATGCTTGAATTTTCAGATGAGAGAGAAACGAGAATTTTTCGTAGTGTTTGTGTTGATGGCTATAAGTTCATAATTCATTATGTCAGAATGTTGTTGGAGTGGAAAGAAAGAAAGGAGAGGTTGGGCCGCTTTATTTGTAATGTGTTTGTGATGATGGATTGTGGTATTTGGGCTAGTGGTCCACCTATTTTAGATGGACCAGGTTCTACCATAGACCTATTGGTATAACAGTCCATATTTTTACTGTCCACTTTCAGCCCAATAGCATGGCCCATGTTATTGCGAGGGTTAAAAAGTCCAAACAGTTTGTATTGTGTTTTTTATTAGCAATGCTAGCATCTCAAATTCTCAATCCTCAACCATGCCTATCATTCAAATCTTTCAACTTTTATTGAAAAAAATATACTACCTTCGATTTTTATTAGTTACAAATTTAATATATTTTATACCCTGTATCTCACAAATGATACCCCAAAATTGCAACTACGAAGTAGTAAAAATTGGAGGTAGTATATATATCCTACATGAACCAATGGTGATAAAGTTTAACTTTTTACATCTGAATAAAGTGACCAAGGTTGGTTGGCGGGGAAAAAATGACAAATTTTGTTAATATTAAGTATTGAATCAATGTTCATGAATGAAATTATAGTAAACCAACATTATAGATATAGTTTTTAAGACGGTACTACAACTTAATTGCTACCTACTTCAATTTATACTTCATGTTTTTGTAGTATGGCTCTTGGGTAGGGAATCTAGCTTGGTATATTATTAATTACTCCATTCATCCCATTTTAATTGTCATGAAAAATACGAAGTATAATACAGATTAAGAGAACATAGTTTATTATGATGTATCGTTTAGATGTTTTACCAATAAAAATTACGAGTAGCGCAATACTTTTATTGTTTATTATTGGAAACTTGATACCTATTTTTGGTCATATTAAATCAAAAAATTTAACTAAAACATACTTCATGGAGTTTGGTGAAGTTATTAATTTTAATATATGAGGTGTTAGGTGGAGATAGGTGAAGTAATTAACCATTTAGCTACTCTCCTTTTTTTTTTTTCTAAGAAGAAGAAGAAAAAATTTAGCTACTCATTTAATATTGCTATATTTGTATATTGATTTATCGCATAATAACTTGTAAATATGTGCATTATTTTAAGTTTTTTTGTTAAAAAATTAGGATAAAAGTGAGATGATATCAAGTTAAAGCTTACCACTTAAACAACAGAATCCTAATTAACAATTTTGTGAAATATTAACTAATCTCTAAAATAATAAGGGTGCCAAAACCTATCATCTAACCGAAAAATGTATCAAATAACATGCCAAAAGCTCAAAAACAAGAGTCAAATTGAACTGGTCCTAGATTCACTATGGTCCAAGTCGCAAATATTCTTTAACATGGCTTATTAATATTTAATTTTATACTAATTAATAATCTTAACCACATGATCAAACTTAAATAATATGAGTATATATGATTGGGAATAGATTATAGAACGATGATTAGTGTGGGTCCTCCATGCCTCGCAACTATGACAAATCCCATCATGATCAACTGCTTTGAGTCTATTAACTGAATATAAAATTATTGTACTATACTATAGTTATTAATAATAATGTTAATAATAAATTAATTATAATAGGGGATCCAAAATTTTGATTGTTAAATCCAAAATCATGATTAGGCTAACATCAATCTCAGAATTGTGATTAAACTTATTGTAATGATTACACATATCATGTGCAATTCTATATTCTGTCATTCCCAATTATGGGAAATCCCACCAACCAAACATGCTTCCCTATCACTTGTGTCTTTCTATAATTATTATATTTCACTCTTTTTTACCAAATTACCCTTCCTATAATACCCCTCTTTCAGTAAATCCTAAGGGTATTATTGACTAATCCCATTAATTTATCATCTTTTAAAATAGG